GTGTTTTAGAATGTGATGTCTGGAGTAGCTCCATATGTATGAAAGTAGACCCTCCTGCTTAATTTAAGTCTTTACCAATTCTGCTTTTATTCTTTTCTCATTGTTCCAAGGTATTAAATTAATTGTTGATTTCACCCATTTATGATAGGTACCAGTTTCTGTGGTCCAGTTTCATGATTAAACTTCTTAAATTAAAAACTACTGGTATGTGTAAGAATGAGCGGGTGTTGGTGGTTTTGTTGGGTTTTGTTTTAAGTGAAATATGTTTAATTCAACTCTTTGTTGGTTTAGTAATTACTGTTTGACAGTTCCTGTGTATGGTTTTGGGGGGTCAGAAGGTATTTGTCAGTAAAATCCATAGTGAGGTAAGCTTTGCAGCTAAACAAAAAAGAGGTTGGGGGGAGGTTGCTTTTGTTTTGTTTTTTAATCTTGATGAACCTAGCTATATTTTCACATGGAGAGCCTTAGCCCATCATTGCAAATAGCTGTGCTGGGTGCAGTGCCTGCACCTAGCTGTTAATCACAGCCTACTGAGTGGAGTTTACCATTCCTACAGTTCTGCCAGTGATAAAATTGCGTGACTGCTTTAATCCCCTTCACTTGGAAGCGAGAGGTTTTAGCTGAGGGATGCCTGTTACAGGGTGTAAAACCAACCTGTCTGCACTTGTCTGAAGCCAGTGAGTGGTCCCATCAGCAAGTGGAATTGAGGAGAACAATATTTGGCAGGCCCAGGGTGGTGAAAGGCTAGGGGCATTTCTCTCTTCAATTGCCACTACTTGTTCCGGAAGGTACACCTGAGGTCTGGTAGTCAGCTGAAGAATAGGGGTGGTTTCTGTAATTTCCTGTTGCTGATGAGCTGCAAACTAGAACAGAAGGATGTTGTTTCATTGTCTAAATTCTGTAAATGAAATACCGATTCTTTCTCATATTCCAGCAAGGAATATTTCGAAGTTTTTAGCAAATATTTGATGAATTGTATGTTCTCTGGATTAGAGACAAAGCTGCAAGTTGTGTATGCACCATTAACACACAATTTAGATTGTGCCCTCTGGAATATGTGGGATAATGAAAAGAACAAGAATTTTGTGCTTTATACTAGGAGCAAACTTACTTTCCAAAAGATCCAGACTATCATTACCCAATCTTCTAGATAGAAGTTCTTGCTGTTGTTTTACTGGAAAGAAGGTGCAATGTTGTACACGTACTCTGTTCTTCAAGCCAGGTAGTTTGTATTATGTAAAGGGTATAGCATGACCAAAGCAAATGTGGAGAGTGCAATAGTGTGCGCAAGTGCACGAGTGGAAGCTCAGGACAGCATTAGCATATAATTCCAGTTCCTTTTGCTGGTAGTTTCTAAGACTGTAATTATAAAGGTAAGTTTCAGGGGTTTTTTTATCTGTGTTACTTACCAGAAATCTCTATCAACAACGGTTTTCTAATAAAACATTCAGTAGTGACTTCAACAGAAGCTTGAAGTATTGAGGCTAAAACACTAATCATATATGCCAGGGACATAGAAGCATAGAGCAGTTTAGGATTTTGGTGTGGTTTTCTTTTTTGCAGGCTAGGAAGTAGTGACCTGGTAATCCTTTGTGCAAAAAGCTCTAGTAAACATTTATAATTAAGATGTGCATAGCTTATTGCTCTGCCCCTCTGATGTCAGGTGGCAAATCAAGGTATCTCTTTGGAAGTAGGGTGGGAGAGGTGGTTGTCTAAATCTTAAATATAGGATTGCATAAAAAGAGAGATCTTGTGCATTTCCTATGAACACATAAATAAAGGAATAGGTTTGTGGAAGTGAACTAAGTACCTTAAATATAGAAGTGTTCCTATGAAATCGTGGGTTTATCTTAATTTTACAGTCATTTCTGGTGACCCCAACCCAAATGTTGTAGGGCTCTGTAACTTTCTAAAAGGGAACCTGTTTGAAGATATCTTTGGTCCAGTTTTTGTTGAGAACTAATATTTTTTTCTGGGAGTTTTTGAATGGGTTAGAATCTCAGTAGCGTGGTGTGGTATGGGGTGGGTTTTTGGTTTTGGTGGCTGTTCTTTTTTTTTTAATACTAGGTGTTTTGACTATTAGTTTTAACTTCAGAGCAGCGTTTTGCTACCTAGTTCTAGCACTGATAGGAAAGTTAGTGTGGGGAGCCTGGCATTTGCTGTCAGATGTTTTTGTCTCGTTTCAGAGCAGATCTAAATTATTTTCTGGAGATGTTCTGGAGGTTTCCCAAGTACTTCACTTTGGGCAGTTAGGGGAACTAGTGAGCACAGACAACGTAGTGGAAAAAATGTGATGCACACAGGACAGTTAGTCATAAGGGATTGTTATTCTCTAGAAACTGTCATCTCCTACAGTTTTGTGTGTTGAGAACAATTCTATGATACAACCGAGCCAGTCCAATGGCTTTTTGCCACAAAAAGCTCCCTCATCCCCACACCCATGGTTTTGCAAAGGCAAGCAGGCACTGAAAGACACTGCAGTCAGCTCTGGCATTTGTTGATCTTTCTTCCTGAGTCAGTTCAGTTGATTAACTGGTTGGATTTGGGTTTTGCCTAGAGGAAAAACAGCTTTTTTGCTAAATCAGTGTGCTGCTTTGGTTAATAGAGGAGCCTCGTTAGTGCAAGAGCAGCAGAGTTTTGGGAGAAGGCATGGAACCTCTTCTGGCACTGAGCAGTTGGGTCATCTCGGCTGCACTGAAAAGTTATGACAGGTGATCAGAAAAAAACCTAAAGCCTGTTTGCTACTGTCTTTTATGTGCTTTTTAAGGAGGTAAATTATAAATGCAAATAATTCTGCAGTCAGGGCAAGAATTCTGAGAAATGGTGGATGTAAGCCACTGGAGAAATCTAAGATAATTATTGGATGCTAAAGTACATGGGTTTTGGGGATGGGGGGTTGTTTGCGGCCTTTTTTTGAGGCTCCACACACCAATCAGAAGCTGTTCAGACAATGTTTTGCAAAAGAAGATGTAAAAGTTTATCCTGCTGGTTTAATTTTTTTGTTGTTTTGTTTTGTTGTTTGTTAAATAAAAAGGTTAGCATTAACCTTTTACTGGCAGACTCCATTCCAGAGCATGTATGAAACTGGAGCAAAAGTAAAAACCTTGTGCTCTATAATGCGCTAGAAGCATGATTGTCAGTTTTCATCCCTAGTCTGAATTGGATATGTAAATGTACAGATCTAATGCTATTAACAAGTCAGGATGGGACCAGAGGAATGGGCAAATGAATTTCAATTAAGCTCTTTAAAAGGAGCTATGCTGAAGTACTGAGAAATTATCTGCTCCTTGATGTATTGTGCTAGTACTTTCAGGTAATTGTAGGTGAACTCTTCTCTGTCAAAATAAGCTTCCAGAGTAGTTTAACTCGTTTAAAACATGTTTTTACATCGAGGTTGTCTGAGTTTTTGCTACCACGGTTGCACACTATTGCTGTGAGCTGGGCTCATTTGTTAAGCTGTCAGGAGACTAACAAAAATGTATAATTTTCTGCTCAGTTAGCAAGCTGAAGTAGCTCGTTATGGGCTCAAATGAGTGGTAATACCAAAGCAGGAAGGAAGGTGAGACCATACATGAGGGATTTAATTTCCTTGCAAAAAAAAAAAAAAAAAACCAAAAAAAAAAAAACCAAAAAAAAAACCCCAAACAAGTAAGTTGATTTTAAACACAATTTAGGAGAAAGCATAGTTATGCAAGATAAGCTATTTGAATAGTTGCTGAAGGGTATGTTTATACTGGTCCATATGCATATGTGCTGACTAAATAATCATATGGTATAGTATTGGTCTTAATTTTTTGCACAGAGACCACCTGGAATACAGACCAGGGTAATGTAAAACCTGAAATCCCAGTGACTAAATAAGTGATATGAAAATGAGTTTTCTTTGACCCCCATCTTTTTCAAACTTGCATATTATGTATTCCTTGCTAACAGCTTTGTATGTACCCAGTCTTAAGAGTGTTAGTTTTATAGAGTACCTGGATTCTTCCAGTACAAGAAAGTAAAAATCATGGAAAATGCTATAGCTGTAAGTAGCTATAAGAAAAAACATATAGCTATAAGCAGCTATAAGAAAATTTTAAGTTTTATTGTGTAGTAATATTGCTACTACATCATTGTGCATGTTTTATTTGACAATTAAAAGCATACCATGATTGCCTGCACGAGTGTTAAATTAGCTTTGTTCCCTACATCAGTGCTGAAATACCGTTTTAGCTTCTGTGATGTAAAGCAATTAAACATCCACTTGTTTAACACCTATCAATATCTGTCTGTTTTCATGTATAATAATCGAGATCCAGTAATTATAGTTCAGTAAGTGAATATTACTTGGCTCTCTTTAGAGGCAGTACATCTTCATATTCTGTTGCGAGGATGTCATTATCTCTGTTTAACAGCTTGTAATCAGTGTTTCTGTACTTCTTATTTTTTTCCCCTCTGTTAAGTGGGAATAATAATCACTAGATTAAAAAAACCTTGGCTTTTTAATTTGTTTTCAGATATTGAAGTGTTGGGTTTTTCTGAAAATCAAATGAAATCAAGTGAAAATGTTTTGGTGTCTTACAGTTTACTTTTATTAAGATAATTTGTGTTAAACATTGCATTCTTTAATTATTTTTGGAGGGAAATTGCCATATCAATTTTATGTGGATTCTAGTTGAGTAGAACTTGACAGACAGTGAATTGATTTTGGAATGTACTGGCTTTAAACAGTACTGTGCTTGGAAATAGAACCTGAATTAAGCCATCTCAAACTGAAGAGACCTCTCCTATTTTCTCTTTTATAGTTTGTATTGCTATTACTTTGTAGTAACTAGCTTCCAGTGAAATGGTTAGTTGCTTCAAAACATCGCGAGTGCTAAATAAATTCACACAGGAAATATTTGTTTAGCTTTGAAAGTATATTCAGCAGTTGCTAGTGCACACATACAAAAGCAATGAAATTATTTACCTTTTCCTTGATGTGAGCAGTATTAATTACTCTCTTCCCTTTTCTCTAGTTAAAGTACCTCGTAATTTTCGCTTGTTGGAAGAACTTGAAGAAGGACAGAAAGGAGTAGGTGATGGTACAGTAAGCTGGGGCCTTGAAGATGATGAAGATATGACACTCACCAGATGGACAGGAATGATTATTGGGCCACCAAGGGTAAGTGTGATGAATTAAAATGTTTTTCTTCAGTTTGTAGGCAATACAAAATGCAAAACCAGGTTACTTTGCTACAGTGTAAAGGAATTAGTTAAAAGTGAATCTATGAAGTTGTAGAAACACTGTATATTCTTGTTAGAATTCATCACTTCCTGGCACATTAGTATTTTCAGTCTAGCCTTCCCCAGTACATGTTTCTGCAGATGTCTGTATAAGCCAGTTGTGATTTGAGACTTAATACTGAGTTAGGAATATACTCGGTCTGTATTTCCGTCATTACTGCACATAAATGTACAGTCATAGTACAGCAAACAGGGTAACTGTCTTCCCACAGATTATCATGTGTGCCTAGTAATTTCATTTCTGTGTCAAACTGACTATATTTTCAACTTTCACAGCTTTTGTCAAAGTCTCTCAGTATAGCAGTTTGTGCAATTCAGTTGAATAATTCCTAAAGACCAAGCGGTTTTTAATTACCTCTAGTAAGATAAAATACATACACAAAGTTCAGATCCTTCTGACTTTTTAAGTTCTGTCGAATGTCATCTAGACTGATAAAACCTGCAAGAGAAGTAGTAAGGAGCTCTAGTGTGTGAGTATCAGCCTCATCAGATACGAGTAGACACATCTGTACTTGATGTGTAGCTTTTGTGCCCTCTTTCTTGTGAGTTACAATATGATACAAAAGATCACTGTATAATGAGGACTTTGAATGAAAATACTTCAAGTAGCTCCGAGTTGGCATATGTCTTTCACTGCTAATATAAAGTTACTGTCTTGTGTGTCCTTCAGTGCTGCAGGGCTTATTGGAAGAACCATCCAAGACATGAACTGAGATCAGATCGGCCTCAGTGAAGTCTTCCAGAGTAACAGGGTTCCAGAGTTAGATTCAGTGTAATTCGAGTTAGATTCAGTGTAATTCAAGCTCCTTTTGGAAGCCAGAGTTAGTTGTAGCTTGCAGCAGACTGTTTTGAACATCTGCATAATTGTTCTGAGCTTCTAAGATTTGTATGCATTTGAGAGAGAACCAATTTAAAATCCAAGTGTAATGATGGTATGCTTTGGATGTTAGCTTCTGTGGAATCACAGTGTTTGAATACACTTTGAACAAAGTTTGTAGTCTTACAGGTTTTGAAAAGAACTTGCAAATTGGAGCTAACTACAGTAGTGTCTCCCTGACTCTAAACAGGCTCCAGAACTGCCCGTGACTGATTTCTGGTTCAACCTAAGGTAGATTCCCAAGACATCTTTGAGGGGATTGATTATTATGTAGGAGCCCATATGTTTTTAAAAATAAAAAAAAAAAGCCCCTATGTTTTCAAAAATAAAAATAAAAAAAACCAACCTGGGATAGACTTTTAATTCTGGTCATTTTATAATGCTGTCATTTTATTTTCTTTATGGAAGAGTGCATGCAAGTAATATTTTAGGCCATTTCAGGGACATGCAGTCTTGCTGACAGAATGACTTGCAGTATGTGGTGACTGTAGAAAATGACAGCCTCTAGCTTCCAAGCCAGTAGTGGTACTTAATGAGAACAACTGTGCATCCAGTTTCAGAGTTTGTAGATGATGAGTCTTTTTGGAATTGATTGAGTTAGGTAGACAGTGTGCAGTAGGCAGAACACAAACAAAGTTGCTAATACTGTCCACATCATGAATTTCTTCATATATGTAGCTTCTCTAGAGCTTTGCAAAAACTGCTTATCAGGTTTTTTTCTTGCTTTGTTTTAAGGGTGAACCAACATGGAAGGGGGAGGGGAAGATTTGTTTTGGATGAAAGGAAACATTTTTCTGACCCTGAAAAAAATGGGGTTTTTTTTAAGGTGTTCTGGGATGCTTGGCTTGCAGTAGAACAGTGACTTGAGAAACTGAGCAAAATTGAGAAGCGATCTGGATAGGGTTGAAGGAATAAGAATGAGTGCTGTTCTTAGGGTTTTTCAGAGTTGTGAGCAGTGTATATCTATTTTGGCCTGTTTCCACTATAACTGACAGCATCCCTCTCTGGGAAAGTAAATTGTTTTATCTGAGTGAATAATGGGGATTTTTGTTTCTGTGTTTTCTTGCTGTGGTAGCAGCTATGTTACCTGTAGCAGGACAAGATTACTTTTATTGGGCCTTTAGCTTTTAATGGGAAAGAATAACAGAAAACCTGTTTTCTAACAAAGGATGTCCTGCTTCACCTTGTTTCTTTCTGACCCACTTGCTGCTTACTCTCTGTGTGGCTCCTTGAAATTATAGGACACAGGGTGCTTTGGTAGTCCCATTTCCACTCTGCCTTTTAATTGACCACAGAGTGGACTGTCATTTGATAACGTCACTACATGGTTGATACTTCTAGTTGGAGAGAGTGACGGCTGGCTGATGTGGAACAGCTTAAAGATGGAACTTCTGGAAAGTTCAGAGGCATGTTACTGCTTTGGGTTCATGTTAGGTGTATCTGTTGTGCCAGTGGAAAGACAGGTGTAGAAATTGGGCATCCGTTCCTTTTGGAGTGCAGAGGCATGTGCATCAGTGACCAGCAGAGCCGCTGACAGTTTTTGTTATGCATGGCCTACTTGACAAGATTAAAAAAAAGAACCGTATGCATATCTAATTGGACTTTCTCAAAATACATTTGGACTTAGAATGATCTGTTCCATGGTAACTTTGGAGTGATGTCTTCTGCAAACGCTTTACAGTCCAAAGTTTATAAATCCTCTAGTAAACCAAGCAATCCACAGCTATGGAAGTCTTAGATATCTTCTGGAGTGTTAATTACTTCTAGAATATGTTTTTTGCAAACACTATTTTCATCTTGTCCTTGGTTGTATTTTAAATGTTGGGTTATTGGCAACTTTGTCATTCCCAATTGCCATTTTTTGTGCAGTGTTAGGGGAAAGGGTAATTTTCCTGGAGATTGCTGATTTTTCTCTCAGGCCCCTACAGTGCCAAAGTTGTTTTGGGAATGCAGGTGGGAAGAAAGGATAAGAGTAAATGTGAATTAAAAAAAGAACTGTATTCTGTTAAAACTTTTGTATGGTACAGTCAATAAGTAGTGTAATTTATACGTATTCATCAAGTAGTCAATATAACCAAAACAGTGGAATATCAATCAGTAATCCAAGACCATCAACTGGGACTTAATATTAAGAGATTTATAATTTTTTCATATTTCTTAATCTTTATTCCTCTTGCTTTTGCTTTGGTGTTTTTTTTAATTAATATTCAGCTTTCAGTCAGATGCATTAGTCTGTCTTTTTGCTTTCTAGACAAACTATGAAAACAGAATATACAGTCTGAAAGTAGAGTGTGGACCTAAATATCCAGAAGCACCTCCTACAGTTAGATTTGTAACTAAAATTAATATGAATGGAATAAATAATTCCAATGGAATGGTAAGTTGAAATGGTAAGATCAACCATGTTGTTAATCTGTACTATAAATTATTTCTGTAAAAAAACAGGTGAAGAATATGCATGTTGGACATAGCTTGTGTATTTAAATTTTACAATATAAGTACTTGTTTTAATTAAATTTTGGTTGCCTACTACTTCAGGTCTTCAGGTACTTACAATATGTTAGTGGTTCTTAGTAGCTTATTAGTGAGATGAGCATTACTTATAGTATTGAAACAGTTGGTTTTTTCACATGAAGCTGAAGATTTTAGTTTTGAACAGAAAAAAAAGTGTTTAAGCCATGTGTAGGTATTTCTCTTGTAATCTCTTATAAAAGGGGATTAGATTAATATTGTAACAGGAGTACTACAAACTTTATCTGATGTTTCTGTTAATTAAAAATGGAGGCTATTCCTGATGAGTCTCATTCTGGATGTAATTACTCACCTATAATGAACCGATGTATTTAAACTCTTACTTTCTTTATAATGGGTTTGTTCAGATCCAAGGTGATTCTGAGCTTCAGTCTTAAGGCCTTTTCATATAGCTGGTAATCACTTTAATATTAAAGATCAATTTGTAAGAAGTTACTTTCACTGATCCCGCACTTAAGGTGGGATGAGTTCACATACATGAGCAATGGCAGCAGCTCAAGTAAGTTTGTTACTCCATTATTCACTAGGTACTTTAGTCCTGTGAATAACTGAGGTACCCCATGGCTCAGTGAAGAGATGTGAGCCGTCTTGCATTTGCAGTGGCATACGTGTGTATCAGCACTTGTCTGTGTGTGTTTGTCTCTAGTGAATGCAGAGTAATTGGGTTAAAATAATACTTAGAGCTGAGTCAGAGCATCTTTGGGTTTTAAATAACTTGCAAGATTTAAAAGGAAGATGGACTTGCCTTTTTGTGTAATTAACAGTACTGAAATGTGAAGCTTAAGTATCTCAATGTCTGTGGAGGAGGGAGAGATTGTTAAGGGTTCGTCTGAGCTGTTGTAGGTGGTAGGATAGTGTACTGTTTGGTCATCCAAAGCCAGTGCACTAACACTTCAGAAATAATCTAAAATTAATTTGAAAGTAGTTCTTGCGTAGCCAACAACTGTGCTCTGCCTGAAGATCTTACTAAAATTGCCATCTACGAACCAGTTGTTGCCCTTCATCACAGTTCTGGCTTGTGGCCTAAGTATATATGTTTATTAAGAGGTTGTGACTAGCAAAAGCTGACAATCTGGAATGCAGCAGAGCTTTTGGTGTATTTAAAATACTATTTTCATACCTCTCCCTAGTAACCCGTGTTATTCTGAATCAGTAAAGAAGTATGCCCTCGTTGCTTCGTCTGTGCATGCCTGAGAGTGTAGGTGTTGGTTTCTGGAAGCAGAACCTCAGACCTGCAGAGCCTGGAGGCTCATGTTTACAGAGCCAATTGGCTTGAGCTTTTGTCTGGGAAAGTCTACACTCCCTCGGCCTGATGAGGAATGGGGTGAATACTGTGACAGGAAATCCACCTGGTGGTTTTAAAAGCTCTGTTAAAATCCAGTTATCGCTTCGATCAAATCATCGAAGATTTGATTTTAATAAGTTTATCAGCTTATGCAAAACCTTAATTCAGTTTTTCCTCAACAGCTTCTGTATCTTATGAAGGATTTGCTATGCAAACACATAACTTATTTTTTTAATGGATTTAAGTAGGACTAAATAGTATTTTTAATTAAAACTGTTTTTATAACTAATGAATTTAAAACTAATTTATTACGTAATTTTTAATGTGCCCCATTGTCCTGGTATCTTGCATTTTAGCTTATTTTGTCATTGTGCTCACTAGAGTTGTGCTAAATGTGTCAGGTCAACTGGAGGCACGTTCATCATCCCTGAAACAGCTCATGTTGCTGCTTCTGGTTTTAGTTCTTTCATGTTTCTTCCAAGCTGCTCTCTCACTTTCTGATCATCTTTTGTACAGTAGATAGTAAGTGGTTTGCTGCATTCTTTGAATGAATGACAGTTTCATCTTCAGACAAGCTCTACTGTCCATGATTTTCTGCACCTTCTTTTTTGACATGCAGCCAGCTTTTGATCCCATTGCTTAAAGCTGAAAAAGTTGGTGGCTTGCAGAAAAGAGAACAGAGATAAACAGCAACTGAAATTGTATGTCGTAGCAGTATTGTCATTCTACTCAAAACGTTTGTAATTTTGTTAAGGAATGCTTTACAGGAGGTGTGTGCCAGTTAACACCTGAGGAAAAGTAGGGGCCCCAGTATGAGTTTAGAGGGTGATAATTTCTGTTGAGTTGGAGTGTGAATGGTGGAGGGGGGGGGATGGATATGTGCTAGAGTTAATGGTGATCTAAAGAAGCTAGTCTCAAACTGCCTTCTTGGCAGCAGTTCTCAACCTTCTTGACTTACAAGTCCCTTTGTGCTTTGCATGAAAAAGTGCACATGTGTAATAATTTATCCATACTGACAGTTACAAGTTTACTGACTTTTTGTGTGATTATTCTGAGAGAGGAGTTTTGCTTGTAACTTTTGTGTCAGTAGCATATCTGCAGGGGTCCCAGAGATTGCTGTTCGATAACTTTAGTGCAGGAAAGGAGAGGGCTACTTCAGGAGTATTTTGTCTCAAAAGACTAAACTTAAGTGCTCTGAGTCACCCTGTTAAGTTGCCTTCCTTATCTGCAAGTTTTTTGTGGTTTTCTGCTTTTCAATTTGCCTATGGAGCTACTGCATTTGTATACAGAATTAGGGTATTAAGTCCAGAAAAGCTAGTCCAAGTACTTATGTAGGGTTGGACAAAATGCCTTTATGTGCTAATGGCATGACTGTTGTAAAAATGTTTTTAAAATATCATTCTTAATGCTGCGGGGTCTTATCTTTTGGAGACTTGTGTATCCTGTATTGATAATATCAACACAGGTTGCATTCTGACATGCTATTTATTTCACCATGGTGTTTTGAGGATGTCTGATTTTTGCATCTGTGAGAGTACTCTTCAGCAGTCCATCTTGCAGGATTTGCAATTTGAATTTTTAAAAATTTAAAACGATTAAATTTAAATATAAATGATAAATGTAAATAAATTATTTTTTTCAATATTTAAATGTAAAATATTTGTTTCCTTCAAACTCATCTGGGACTTTGTCAGCTATAAATCTGTAAACTGTTGTCCAGTTCTTGCTTTGAGTATGTTTATTGTAGACTAAGCAGTTTGCTACTTCTTAAAGGTATTGGGATCGTTACTGAATACTTTGCAACATTTTGTAAAATTATTTGGTTTAATTTCAATTGTTTTGAAAAAATGCATGATATATATTGCTTCTCTTGTTATTGTTTAAAGACCTACAATGGTGTATCCCCAGAATAAAATAATCTTCAGGTTGCTGTTTTCAGCTTTATTAGCTTTTATGTGACCTTGAAATTTCTCCCTCTATGTCCCAGGATGTGTACTTGAATATTACCTAATGCTTTTGTGTGATTTGAACATAGTTTGTGTCACTCTTCCAAATATCTTTTTGTTGTTATTCATAAAGTAAATTTATTGTGTACTAACTTGGAAATAAATTCTGCAATATGGAAAACAGAACTTGAGCCAAAATCTTTACCGCTGCAAGATGTCATGAAAAAAGTCGGTGACTTGCAGAAAAGAGACTTGAGATAAACAGCAATGAAAATGTCACGCTTAACAGTCTTACTCAGAAAACATTCGTAACATTGTTAAAACAGAGTTTGCAGAATTTGTTGCTACAAATTTCCAGCCAAGAAAGAAAAGCTGGAGGAAGTTACTTCTAAGTGATCAAGTCTCATATTCCAGTACAGCCAGTATATGTAGAATTGCATTGTTTGAACAGCACTGGTGACTGACTGCTATGTGCTGTAATTGAGGCAGATCTCCAGACTTGAGAGAGCCTGGGAAGGCAGAGTAGAGGAGAAGCAAGGAAAAGGAAGAGGGTATGAAAGCAGAATTGCCAGGCTGAAGACATTCATTTGGGGAGTCCAAGAGCAACTGCCTTTCCAGCCATTTTTTGCTAACCCAGTCTTTATCTGAACAGCTAACTGTATAAGTTTTCTTTCTCAAACCTACCAAGATCTCAACCTACCTTTTTCTTCTTCTCTATGTTGGTTTACCAGTGGTCTTCTAAAACAGTTTATTATCACATGGGCTTCCACCCCCAAGTGCATGTCTTTCCTGGTTGGGAATCTTCTACTACAACCATTACCTGGTCCTTGATAGCTGTTTACTGTGGCTTCTTTCCCCCCTATTTTTCTCAGGAAGGTTATTGATTTTATTTTTTTTATTATTTATTTTTGGCAGGTCAGTGACACGTAATGTGATCTCTCCTCAGTTACTTTAGTAGAAATGATTCAGACTAACATGGAAATTTTTTAAGCTACTGGTCTGCCAAATGACTTATACCAAGGCATTCAGGGAGTACTCTCACATTTTGTTCTGTTTTGCCAAGTTGAAGAGGATGTCAGGTTAGCTGCAGAGAAGTATTAACAAGTGTTAAAATGTGTGTCTCTGTGAGAGGGAAGAAATAAGCTCTTAAACAATAAGCTCTGCGGCTATATGCTAAGTGAACATAAGATCTGAGCCCTTGTTTCTTCTCTTACCATTATACTTAGCTACCATGAAGTTTTTCATCTTTCTGTAGGACCCCATGAGGAAAAATGGTGATCTCATGCATTTCTCATGACGTTTTCTATATGGAGAACAGTTTTGAGTAGTGTGATGTTTACTATTCTAACTTTTGAAATGAATTCATGTTGTTCCTAGTTTGCTGGGTCCAGCTCTTTGGATAGAAACTTGGGAGTGGCCTTTAATTTTATCTAGAAGGATTGGAGAGGAAGAGATCTGTAAGAGCTTGGTACCTCAGAACAAAGATTCAGGGTAAATGATGCCTTACTTAAGCTGCTATTTGATAACACAGGTGATCTCTTACCAGGATTCCCCTTCTACTCACCGATGGTTTTGTCTAATAGTCTGCTTTTTTAAGAAAAGAGAACCTGATTTCCAGTTGCAAAGATGATTCTGCTCCGATATTGGCTCTTCTATCTATGGCATTAAACCAAATACCCCTTTAAAAAGGTAGTAGTGGTAGTCCAGGGATTACAGTGATGGTCTGACCAGTGTTACTTTCACAACCTGTCTGTATTAGCTCATACACTCGTGTATTTTAAACTGGCATGATCTTGCTGCATAATGAAGCTTTCCTTTTGATGCTCCCTTTCTTTGTAATTCATTAATATTTGCAATACATGTTAAGTAGCCTGACTGTCTTCTATGCTGTGGTTTGATGATAGGCTGTCTTTGGCAGCTCTTATGACTTCACGGGGTTCTCAGCTCTGAGCAGAATGTTATTTGTGTCAAGAGAAATGCTTATAGTGCCGAGCTGTGAAGTGGATCAAGGATCCTGCTTAGACACTTCTTTTCAAGGTGTTTTTTTTTTAATTGGGTGAGTTCTATCAGTTTAGGTCGGAAAGTAGCTCCGGATACATTTCACGGTTCACCTGAGCTCATAGGCGGTAGCCCTGATAAAGGAACAAGTGCCTAGTGACAGGGAGCAGAAGTTTCTTGGGTTAGTATTGCTGCCCAAACCAGCATGCTGTTAAACCTTGGCCTCTGTTTCCTCCTACAAAAAGGTTTAGTCTCATCTGGTGTTCTGAAAATAGACAGCCTCACTTTGAACAATCTAGAAATAAAATGTCTGTGTTAACGTTCTTATTTCTGATTCCAGTGTTGTTGTTTTTTTCAGTTTGCCCTAATTAATATGTGATAACAAGCTTCTTGATGTTTTATGCTGCCTAAATCATAAAGCAGTAGTTTCCAGCACTTTTATAGCCATGTGGGCTTCCTGTGCTACTCTGCCAATGGAATTCAGTAGCATGCAATAGCCCTATTCCTGCCCATGGGCCTGCTTGCAGTCGCACAGCTGTAGGCCCCTCTGTTTTATTAAGTTCCTCGTTGCAGGGGCTGGGTGGCCAGGACTTACCTGCTGCCAAAACAGTTCCCAAGCTGACTTTCAATTGCCAACTTACCTGTGGAAACCTCCCTGTTACCATATAATTGTGTAAATTGTCCCACAGGTTTTATAAATGCATAAGAGGGAGTCCCATGCCCTTTCAGTTCATACTCAGATTGGTAAGCGAGGTACAGTAATTCCTCACAGCTGCATAAGATGACTTACTGTAAGAAGGATACAAAGAACTAAGAGATGTCCAAACGTTATGAATCAGTTATTTCAATATTCAAGACATTTCTTGGTATACATAGTGACTCCTGATGTATCAGACGTATCATGTAATATTGATGTGAAATAAATCATTAACAATACTTGTAGCAAGGGAACAAGGGAAATTTTCCTTTAGAAAGGTATTCTATGGACTCTTGTGTGGCAGGTTCTTTTAAAGAACTGAGGAAATCCCAATTGTATATATTGGCGTAATGAAGGTGATTACCCCCAAAAAAGAATAAAGTAATTTGAAATAAATGAATACATTTTACAAGATACAACTCCAGTTTTGCAGTGAACGGTTTGCTGATCTCCTCCTCCCCCCCGCTGCTCATCTTCTCACTAATACTAATATCAGCACAGGTGGAAGAATCCACTTGCATGAATGGCAAGTTGAATTATTGCGGAATCTGTATGTGTGCGTAATTATATGATTGTTTTCCTTAAAATATTTTATGAACACAGGGACTTCATGCCACAGAGAAAGTGTCAGGGAATGCTTAGACTCTTCCTTAGAACAATTAGGTCAACAGCAGTTATTTATGTAGGGATTTTGTATTTCATCGTAACTTATAACTCCCTCTTCTTTTTCCAGGTGGATGCACGGAGCATACCAGTGTTAGCAAAATGGCAAAATTCTTATAGCATTAAAGTTGTACTTCAAGAGCTAAGACGTCTAATGATGTCCAAAGAAAATATGAAGCTTCCACAACCTCCAGAGGGACAAACTTACAACAATTAATTTTAGCTGATTCTCAAACTTCTGTCTTAAAACAACAACCTTCTACTCATGTTAATGTCTTGATTAAATCTCACAATGCAAACACCCACACATTAAAAGAATTTCAGCTGGTATACATGACCTGGACATTTGTAAGAATATATATATTATATGTATGCCCAATATGTTTTCAGGCACTATGGGAGAAAAAGGCAGCACAATTATTTTTTTTCTCTTATCAAGGCACTGTCATTTAAGCATAAGCCTGAAATAGCCTAAAATTGGAATTCAGGTTTTACAAGATGAAAGCATGACAGAAAGTGTCAGATTGCTGTGGAATAATATATGTTTCTGAAAATAATCTCTTGAGAAGGCAAAATATAAATGGCATGCTTTATCCATCTTGCTTAGTAAAAGAGCTGCAGTTAAATTTGTTTTAAAGTAGCAGGTACAGTGAATACCGTTGCTCATCTTGTTTAATTTTGCAAGGGTGTGGGTGCCGACTACTAGTAGTGTCACAAAGTATGTTCAGGATTGTTTTGATACCTGTATTTATAAAATGGGGGGATTAATTTCTGTTAAGCAGCTCCTGTGTGTTACATGTATCGGACATGGCAAATATTTGTTTACAGTCTTTGTTCTAATAAACCATGCATTTTAAGTTTTAGTGAAACAAAGGAAATGTATGGATATGTGATTGAGATTAAAGTTAGTCTTAAAATGTAAATAAAATGTGGAAAGTGTCTGAGGCTGTGCCATTTCTATAATAGTGATGTAATATATGTACAGGAACTTGCAGAAGTAGTGGAAAGCCAACCATAATATTGCTGCTGGTTTTACGTGCACCTTTTATTCTTACCACTTTTGTATGCTTAGTTGACTTGAGAGGTCAAGGTGTTTGTTCCGTTTGTTGTAGAGGAGTAAGTTCTGTCATCTGTAGTACCACTTCTTTAGACAAGCTTGCACTGTGTGTGTGTGTGTATATATATATTTAAAAAAACTAAACAATTCCCCAAGCCAACTCCAAAATAAAAATTAAAAAACCTCTTCTACCCACCTCCCCTTCACCTCCCCTCCAGATTCTTTTGAGAAATGAGCATAACTTTCACTTTGCTTACTTGACCTCTGAGCAATTTTCAGACCACATTGCTGAAGTCTGTCCTACTTCTCAGTCCCTTGTCTTGCTTTTGCAGTTGCTGCCTTGATTCTTGCTTTCTTGCATCTTTTCCTCTTTTATGTTTCATGCCTCTTTTTTTTTTTTTTTTTTTTCCCCCCCTCGTCTGTTCCACTTTTGCCTTTTCTGAAACACACAAAAAGGAAGCTTCAGGAAGCATTAATGAAAACTACACCTGCGATACAGATGATCGTATTTCCATCTGCATTCCATGTATCCTGTGCCATGATGCCGCTGTCTTCGTAGCTAGAGTGCTTTTGGCCTCTCCTGCAGTTGTTGGTCTCTTTTATTTTTTTTTTTTTTTAAATTTTTTTTTTATATGTACTCTCTCTGGTGGGAACACGGGTTTTAGTTCTGTTACTGATTTCTCATAAGAAAGCAGTTCATGCTACCCTTCTGGAAACTATACCTTCTTTCACCCCCTCTCCCCCCCTTGGAAAACGCAAGCCTTTGTTCCTTTTGGTGAGAACATGTAATATCGGGAGAGAGTCGGCTGTTTGCATTCAGAATTTTATTTAGTGGTTCTTTTGAAAAAGGGAATATAATCAAAAGCCATCAACAGCCAGGTAACTTTCTTTGATATGCCTTTGCCTATTTCTGATGTAAAGAATGAACCTTTAAAAGCAATAAACCAGGTGTTCTTTCTTTTACTGGAAAGGCTTAATTAGTATTTGTCAGTTTATGCTTTTTAGAGAAATTGGGCACTTCCAGAATTGGTGGATGTGTAGCTGCCAGCTACCTCGTGTCTGTATTTATATAACATATCATTTGTGACGGTTTGGCTCAAGTGCGTTGCAACGTTTTCTTACTTGATTTCATTTGAATGATTTTGATGCAATTAAATCTTTTTTTCTTACACTGCTAATCTATATTTAATCAATTAAAATAATGGAACTGCACAGTTCTGAGATGTGAATTTTTGGGAACATTTCAGCATAAACTGCTGAGAGAATGAGAAACGGCCCTAGGCTATTACATGGTTGGTAAGACTGACTTGCACGTCTGGTTGCTCGCCTGGTTGCACGTGGTGCAAGCTGATCCCACAAGAGCTACTCCTCCGCGTCTGTACTCTAACCATTTGTATCTGTGACAATCTGCTTATCCAGCTGTAAGCAGATACATTTTGCAGCAGAAAAAAAGGTGGTGGAGGGACCTGATCTCTGGCACCAGGGTATGTAATATAAATGGCGACTGTTGAAATGTTCCTGCAGCGATTTTAAGTCTGGTGGTTTTCCATTTTGCTCACACGGGAAGAAGTCTAAGTGTAATTAATTATAAAGTTTTAAAATGTCTTTTGAGTACTGCGTAAAGTCGAGAGCCTCCCTGAAACTCTTCTGTTACCTGAAGAAGATTTTGAAGCGCTGCTGCTTTCTCACCTCCAGAAAGGTTAGGTTGGTTTACATGTAGCCATGTCTGGTCAGTGTTTACTTAGTAATTTGTCTTCTCATGCTCTTGTGGTTTCTCTTCAGTAACCTACTTAGATGCTAGAATTTTAATTTTATAAGTATTTAACTTGTGTTATGTTCTTTTGGCAAGATTTGAATCTGCTATTGTTAGCAAAAGTGTGTTTTTATTTTCTTCTCAAAACTGTATTTGTGCATTTTGCAAAGTAGAGCACCAGTTTAAGCCAGTTGTGTGAGGGGGAAAGTGCAAAAATTCTAAATACAATATTTTTTTCAGATTGCATTTGAAAATTTGTTATCATCATGATGGTGGTCATCAACTGGGATTTAAACTAGCTTTGTGCTCTGAAGCATTGCCAAAGTTCCTGTGTTTTGGTTATTTGAGGGAGGGATAAGTTTACTGTGAAGCAGAGGGGGGAAAAAAAAAAAAACCAAACCCCAAAGATGGTATGATTCATGCTTCGTAAACCTTAAGATGTAACAAGCAAGCCTTTAGAAATAACCACATTGCAAATAATGTGCCTTACTCATTTATAATAAAGTACGTGAAATGTTGCCAAGTGTGCACCTACCAACTGCCTGGATTGCGCCCATCTTCCCGAAAGCAAGCTGAGAAGACCTGACACCCAGCAAGACAGTCGGGAGCGAATCCCTCAACTGTTACAAAATAAATGCATAATCCACGCTTCTCCTAAATGTTACTGTATAGGGGATACCTAAAGGAACATTTTAGGGTATCCTATGACAGTTGATCAACTATAATAATAATAATAAACTGTAATTTAGACAAGTATTTGTGTTTTACATGGTTACTTATATGGTGAGTTTGTGGAAATTGTTTCCTGTTTAGTAGTTTTCGGGACAATAATTCAGGGCCTAAAAATATTAACTACGCTTCTCTTGCGCTGTCTTTTGCTGCAGAAGGCTCATTGAGCAGGCCACCGGGGATTTGCCCCATGAGAGAGGCAGGATGCCTGACTGCTACTTGTTTTTACTCTGACCTCTAGTTTCTGAAAACTCAGCCAGATTGCCCCTGGTGTGACAAGTCTCAATGGCTAGAGACGAGGGAATAAATTGGTATAAAGCGAGCCTGAGTATGTGTTACTGTAACAAAAAAAAGATGACTTAAAACTGCTGTTGGTCTTTGATGCGAGTAAAATTCCAGACAGAAGTGAAGCAGTGGGACAAAATATGTTTCTCATATTTTTTTCTAAATGGTGTGCTCAGAACTCTTTTGTGCAGCCTAGGAAGACTTCTGAGGTGGGGAGGTCTAGGAGGAACATGATGAATGCCTGTGGTCTCTCTTTAATAGTAATTTTTTAGAAAAAGCTTTAAAACTTGTTAATGCACCTGTGTTCACTACAGAATGGAATGACTGTGGGAGAGGCTGCTCTTCTTTTACCTGTTCTGGTGACTGCGTTACTCCCTGAATTATTATATTGTGTTATACCTTTTCTGTTGCAGACCCAGCTGACCTTGGGCTAAAATGACATGAAGGATATATTGCCTGTAATGCTGGAAGTATGAAAATAACTCACTTGTGCAGCTTTAAAAAAATACAAAAGAACACATTTCACCAGCTGATCTCACTTCCATGGGAATGAGTACTCCATTCAATGGTTAAAATATCAGCTTTCTACATTACCTTAGTGTTAATGTGGTTTGTAACCTTGGGTTTTGGGGTTTTTTCTTGTTGCTGTTGGGTTTTGTTTTGTTTTGTTTTTTACTAAATGGCTGTAATGTATGCTTTCCGCTCAATTGGTAAACAGCTGTAGATGAAGGTACAGTGAATTCCATTCCCTAAAGTACATGTCATGTATCAACTCTCAAGTAGCATTCCCATATTCAAAAACAGTTCTGTGAAGTTTTTCAGTCTTTACCATTTTAAAATAGCAATAAGTATAAAAAGCCTTGTATTATTTATACTAGTGCCGAGCTGTGTAAATGGGTAACTTAATGGATGATGTTGAGATAATGTGCAAATAGCCAGTGCTTGGGATCTCTTGATGTAATACTCTTATAACTCTTCACCACTTCTTAATGGAAGCATCCCAGCCTTCTGCTTTCAATATATGCAGTATGCTTAAAATGTAAACGTGGTTTTAAAATGTAGAGACTCTGCAGTTTGGGTTTTAAAAAAATATACTGTGTATTTGTTAACTGGGAAATACTGAAGGAATGGCTGTGCAGACATAGATAGGGAAGGTTTTCATCAGCTGCTCTGTGCATGTTCCCACTCTGCTCCCTGGTGACTGTTACCGATTGGGAGGAATGCTGCTTTAACACATTGGCTGTTTCCATTTTGAATTATATTACTGTTACATTTTTAAGCATGCAAGAATGAGGAAGGGAGGGGTTTGTTTTCCCTTTGCAAATTTTTATGGATTAAAAATGGTCAGGAAAAGAAACCTGGTAAACACATCTGTTACTGACTTGAGAACAGACCACGAAAAGTTGGCTATTTTTTCCAACTGTCACAGAAATAAAAGCTGTTACAATTAGGATGAGAGCAGCTCAGACAGTAGAGCTGTGAAGTTGTCATGAAGATGTGGAAGAGAGTGTTTCTAGCAGATCTTTCCAGTGTTGTGAAATTTGGTTTAATATGGGAGAGAAAGTTGAGCCTTGCAGGATGACTTTGGGAGATGAACTAGTAGTTGGAACTCCTTAAATTCAGCCTGACAGGACTTAACCCAGTTCTGTTCCTCTATTTCACTTTTTTTGGAGACAGAATATTCTTGCATTTAAAATTGTTAAACGTGGTTGTGAAGTACAGCAGGTTGAGGTGACTCCGTTTCTCTTGAGTTTCGATATGTATGCAAAACTTGCCACCATGAGGAGCTGCGTAAACCAAAAAGCGTGGGCGTCTGCGATGCTGGCGGCTGGCTCTTTAGTTCCCAGATTGATCCCCCTGAGGGACTGGTGATGAGCAGTTTAAAGTTTAAATGTATGTGTGTGGTTAATAGAGTCAATATTATCGATGAGAAAAGTCTACGCTCAGAGCCCTTTGCTTTTGTCACAGTATCAGGCGGGTTGCCAGCCACCCTGACCCCTGCCTTTTCTGCCCAGCAGTTTCTTCCACTGTCTGTTGCTCACTGGACTGCGGTTTTGGGAGGGAGCCTTATTTCTCATGTCTGGGTGGTGTGTGGCACTTGGAGCTATGGGACCGTCTGCTTCTGAGAAATCTCTTAAGATAACACCTTGCCACAACATCACAGTTTCAGAATGCACGGTGGCGGTCGTAGTCACCTTGGCTTGTGTTCTCTGACACTCTTACCTGTCGTGTGTACTTTTTTTTTTTTTCTGTATGAAGATTCCCAGATTAGATTTACGATCTCCTAAGGTATTACTAACCTGTAACTATATTATATTTGTTACAGCCTTATCAGAAAATGTTTCAAACAGCTGTGTCCTCACAGCATCAAATGTATGAGTCATTGCATTTATAGCAAAATTCCCATGCTCAGTTAGTACTGTACTTCCATTCCTTAAATGCTGGAACTTCGAAGTACCGAAATAATGTGAAATGAAAATTTATGGCCATGATGTTTCTAGTTAGCGATGTTTTTATATCACTATTTAATATCTATGATAACTATTTGCTTCCTTGAGCTGTCATTCAGATTGTGTATTAAACACTCATTATTTAAAATCTTTGAGTGTCACCCCAATTAGTAGTGCAAT